TATCGCATTTTTTAGGCGAAAAAAGCTCTTTTGGGGTCATTCGCACAAATTATACTTTTTAGAAAAATGAAGTGTATGGCTGATGTCTGTGGATCCTTCCGTATCCAAAAAAGTTGGTTCGGTGAAATCGTACAACGTTTCGCGATATCGCATTTTTAGGTCCAAAATGCTCTTTTGGGGTCATTCGCACAAATTAATTTTTTAGAAAAATGAAGTGTATGGCTGATGTCTGTGGATCGTTCCGCATCCAAAAAAGTTGGTTTGGTGAAAATCGGTCAACGTTTCGCGATATCGCATTTTTAGGCCAAAATGCTCTTTTGGGGTCATTCGCACAAATTATACTTTTAGAAAAATGAAGTGTATGGCTGATGTCTGTGGATCGTTCCGTATTGAAAAAAGTTAGTTTGGTGAAAATCGGTCGACGTTTCGCGATATCACATTTTTTAGGCCAAAATGCTCTTTTGGGGTCATTCGCACAAATTATACTTTTTAGAAAAATGAAGTGTATGGCTGATGTCTGTGGATCGTTCCGCATCCAAAAAAGTTGGTTTGGTGAAAATCGGTCAACGTTTCGCGATATCGCAGTTTTTAGGCCAAAATGCTCTTTTGGGGTCATTCGCACAAATTATACTTTTTAGAAAAATTAAGTGAATGGCTTATGTCTGTGGATCGTTCTGCATCCAAAAAAGTTGGTTTGGTGAAAATTGGTCGACGTTTCGCGATATCGCATTTTTTAGGCCAAAATGCTCTTTTGGGGTCATTCGCACAAATTATACTTTTTAGAAAAATTAAGTGTATGGCTTATGTCTGTGGATCGTTCCGCATCCAAAAAAGTTGGTTTCGTGAACATCGGTCGACGTTTCGCAATATCAGATTTGTTAGGCCAAAATGCTCATTTGGGCTCATTCGGGGAAATTATGCTTCATAGTAAAATGAAGAGTGGGGCTGATGTCTGTGGGTCGTCCCGCATCGATAAAAAAGTTGGTTTCGTGAAAATCGGTCAACGTTTTGCAATATTGCATTTTTTTAGGCCAAAATGTTTTTTGGGGCTCATTCTGGAAATCATGCTTTTTAGAATAATCAGGTGTGGGTCTGATGTCTGTGGATCGTCCTTCATCCAAAAAAGTTGGTATCGTGAAAATCGGTCGACGTTTCGCAATATCAGATTTTTTAGGCCAAAATGCTCTTTTGGGCTCATTCGGGCAAATTATGCTTTATAGTAAAATCAAGAGTGGGCTGATGTCTGTGGATGGTTCCTCATCCAAAAAAAGTTATTTCGCGAAAATCGCTCGACCTTATGTGATATCACATTTTTAGGCGAAAACGTTCTTTTGGGCTCATTAATTGGGCAAATTATACTTTTGGGAAAATCAGGTTTGGGGCTGATCTCTGTGGATGATTCCGCATCCAAAAAAGGTGATTTCGTGAAAATCCATTGACGTTTAGTGATATCGCATTTTTTTGGTGTAAAGTGCTCTCTTGGGCTAATGTTTGCAAATTTACATCCTTTATTGCAAAACCAGGTATTGGCTTGATGTGGAGGGATCGTCCAGGTATTTTTCAGCACATTGTATTAAGCATAAATTGCATTGATGTTCAACACAGTATATCATCATATAAACCCGTATGCAACACACACACACACACGCACACGCACACGCACACACATATATTCATAGAGAAAGCAGCTTATCTTGAATGCCGATACCAATATACTCACCCCTGAATTGACCTGCTGCACAAGAGTCACATATGCTGAAGAGTCCGCATTCAAGAGATTATCGTCGAATGTCACAGAGGGGACAGATAGACCGATGAAGAGCTGGACACCTCTGCCGACTAAATGAGATAACAAAAAGAAATAGCATTACACGTCAATCATTATAATGGCATTTGCATGTTTGCAAGTTTCTTAATACATACAAAACTTAACTAAAAGGTGTTCAAAGCAAGTATTGTGAAACTTTTAATCACGAAGTAGAGTGTCCAATTGTAATTGATGATGAAAGATGAATATCATACACCTTACCCTCACAAACTTGTTGTGGAAGAGTAGTTGCCAAGTCTGTTAAACGGTTAAAGTCTGAAAGCATAACGACATTTCCTGCGGTGCCAGCAATAGAGAGGAGTTGATCATTGTCAAGGTTGCTGCCAATCCCAACTGCGTAGGTGACAATCTGTGCCTTGCGCATCCTTTGTGCCGGGTTTGATACTTCATCATCAGAAACCCCATCCGTGATTACTATGGCCACTTGCACAACACCAGTGCGAGCACCGTTGTTGGGAGAAAACCCAAACTTCCAGGTGTAATCAAGAGCTTGTCCGGTTAGGGTGTTCCCACCTATGTATCTGTAAAAGGTGATTGTCTCAAATTTATCAAGATGTCTCATCGTGATTTTCGATTTTTAAATTAGTGAATCATAGTAAAGAAAAGTATAATAACCTACTAAATATCAACATGCTGTCTGCATATATGTAATTGTTACTTTAAAATCATCAAATTGAGCGTGTCATATTCTGTTAAAATATCAGTTAGTCCAAACATACCCGATGTTTCCAATGGCTTCCACTAAGCTGTCAACATCACTGTACGCATCAAGACTAATCTCCATTTGTTGAATGTTGGCATACTGAATTATACCAACGCGGGTCTGGCCGGCACCTATGTTGAAATTCGTCACTAACTTCTGAACAATAGCCTTTATCCTCTCAAAGTTCTCTTCACCGACACTACCAGTGCCATCAAGCACAAACACAAGATCCAAAACGGCAGAACATGGTGGCGCTAGAAAACAGATAAGAAATATATATATACAAGAATAAAAAGTAGAATTAATGGACGAAAACCTACACAAGCAACATCCCAAGACATCTTTGTCTACAAGATAGATTTTTAACCGGTACGTATAAATTATTCTCAATTAACATACTTGTATCTCCAACAGAAGATGACACTACAGGCAAGTTTCCGAGCTGTGTCCCCGGAGCTGTGGTGTTGATGATGATTTGGGTGGTGGCGTCGACATTTGCACCTAGCGCCACTACACTCACAGTCACCGATGTGCTTGTTGCGGTCGTTCTGAGGAAAGGAGACGGAAGCATAATGCATGGAAGCATTCTTCAAGAGCCCCAAACAGCATGGAAAGTAAAGCAACATTAAAAAACAGTACCAAAGTGTCCAGACAATAAATGATCCATAGACGTTTAATGAATAAGGATAATAAGTGCACCACAGCAGGAAGACTTTCAATCTTACCCAGGAGCCACTGAAGTAATGGATACCGACTGGACGTCTGCCGGGGTGGTGGAGAATGCTTGGAGCACCTGAAAAAGATGCCAAGATGGAGGTTCTTTACTTGGACAATGGCTACCATGTACATCCCAGGCCCATATCTTTGCCCCTACTGTCAGGCGCTCAGTAGACGACACTTTTTGGTCTCGCTGACAATAAATTAGCTGTAGCACAAAAGAGAAAACATTGCTAAAGAACAACCTACCGCATCTTCGATAGTGACACCCAAGTTGACATAGGCCGTTGACGACGTATCTTGGTAGTCCTCGGTGTAGGTGAGAGTTAGCTCCACTGTGACTATGATGGTTGTTCTGGTGTCTGCAGAAAGTAAGTATAAAAGTAAAGACAAGCAAGCAAGTAAGCAAATTGGTTGCATGCAAACTTCTCGTCTGCACTTCCAATCAGATACTTCTACAAAGTCAGAGAGGTCGTCTGAGTAGACTAAAAGGTAGGTACAAAAACCAGCTAGGCCAAGTCAGGTGTACTAACCAGCAGACACAACGGTAGTTTGCCCAGGATCAATCGTCAAGTCTCCGAAGTCGGGTTGTAGATTCTGGAAGGTGGTCTGTACAGTATCCAGGGCGAAGGGAGCAACGGCGCATTGCACGGTCGAAACTACGCCTCCGCAGCTAGAAGGAAAATGCAGATCGTTTCAAAATGAAGACTCGCCTAGTCGGATACAGGGTATTATGTGAGACATTTTCATACTTAGACTTTTTTGACCTTTCACTATTCCAAGAGAAGCAGTTACTTACCCAGGTGCGAAGCCAATGGGTTGGAGGGCTGCTATACCAGGACTGCTTGTACGGTGGTCGTCAACTGTTAATCCATGGAAAAGACGGTGTTAAACATAGTAAGAAGCAGAGCTGGAAGCAAAATCGACCTTGCAGTCAACAATTTGTCTTGTATGGCTTACGACCAAAAATGTAGCCATGAAGCAATCTAGCGCTCTAGTGGTCGAAGCCGAAGTTGTACGGAAGAGTTCTTACCCCTTGAACAACTTGTTGGAAAAGTGCCGTGGAAACACTGGAATTGGCGTTGAGAATCAGGACATCGTATGTAGTTGTGACACAGATGGAGACGACAATCTGCTGACTGGTACCAACTATATGAAAGGGAAAAGTAAGGATAGTGTCAAACATCACATCAAACCAGAAAGAATCACCAGAAGACATGCTGAGATTATGATCTGTAGAGTCCCCTTTCGAAAAGTGCAAGAGTCTGCAGCTTACCGTCGCAAAGCATGCTGGGCAGGGTAGTAGTCAAGTCCTGTAGTCTGTCGAAATCATCAAGAGACAGGAGAGTGTTGGGATCTCCTGCGATAGCCAGTAGCTGGTCGCTATCCAGGTTGGAGCCCACACCAACAGCGATGGTGACGATTCCTGCCTGGCGCATCCTCCGAGCAGGACGTTGGACGTCGTCCTGAGATATGCCGTCGGTGATGACGACAACTATCTTGGTCACGGTGGCTCGGGCGCCGTTCCTGACGTCGAAGTGGACATTGGTGGCGAAGTCGATGGCATTACCCGTCTTTGTGTAGCCGCCCATGTATTGAATAGCTTCCACTGCGTCTTGCAGGGCCTGGAGGTCGAAGTACTGGTCAAGGAAGAACTCTGTGCGGGCTTGAACTGCATACTGAACGATAGAGACGCGTACGGCGTTTTCTCCAATATCCAAGAAGGCGAGCAACTGGCTGATGAAGGTCTTCATTCGCTCGAAGTTCTCCAGGCCCGACGCTGCCAGTGCCGTCCACACAAAGACAATGTCTGCTACTGCACTACAGGGAGGAGCTAGACAGAAACAAGAAACAAATTTAAAGGAGGCCACAACTGCCAAGAACTTGACAGCAACAGAAAAAGATTGAAAAAAAACGACGCCACTCAGGCTGAAATAGCACAATCGACATACTTGTATCTCCAACGATAGCCGAGACTACAGGCAAGTTTCCGAGCTGTGTTCCCGGAGCTGTGGTGTTGACGATGATTACGGGTGGTGACGTCGACATTTGCACCTAGCGCCACTACACTCACAGTCACCGATGTGCTTGTTGCGGTCGTTCTGAGGAAAGGAGACGGGAGCATAATGCATGGAAGCATTCTTCAAGAGCCCCAAACAGCATGGCAAGTAAAGTCAACATTAAACAACAACAGTAAAAGAGAGTACCACAGTGTCCAGACTTGGCTTAAAGTACAGGCAATAGATTATTCATAGGCGTTTAATGAATAAGGATGATAAAAGTGCGCCACAGCAGGAAGTCTTTCAATCTTACCCAGGAGCCACTGAAGTAATGGGATACCGACTGGACGTCTGCCGGGGTGGTGGTGACTGCTTGGAGCACCTGAAAAAGATGCCAAGATGGAGGTTCTTTACTTGGACAATGGCTACCATGTACATCCCAGGCCCATATCTTTGCCCCTACTGTCAGGCGCTGAGTAGACGACACTTTTTGGTCTCGCTGACAATAAATTAGCTGTAGCACAAAAGAGAAAACATTGCTGAAGAACAACCTACCGCATCTTCGATAGTGACACCCAAGTCGACATAGGCCGTTGACGACGTATCTTGGTAGTCCTCGATGTAGGTGAGAGTTAGCTCCACTGTGACTATGATGGTTGTTCTGGTGTCTGCAGAAAGTAAATATAAAAGTAAAGACAAGCAAGTAAGCAAATTGGTTGCATGCAAACTTCTCGTCTGCACTTCCAATCAGATACTTCTACAAAGTCAGAGAGGTCGTCTGAGTAGACTAAAGGTAGCTACAAAAACCAGCTAGGCCAAGTCAGGTGTACTAACCAGCAGACACAACGGTAGTTTGCCCAGGATCAATCGTCAAGTCTCCGAAGTCGGGTTGTAGATCCTGGAAGGTGGTCTGTACAGTATCCAGGGCGAAGGGAGCAACGGCGCATTGCACGGTCGAAACTACGCCTCCGCAGCTAGAAGGAAAATGCAGATCGTTTCAAAATGAAGACTCGCCTAGTCGGATACAGGGTATTATGTGAGACATTTTCATACTTAGACTTTTTTGACCTTTCACTATTCCAAGAGAAGCAGTTACTTACCCAGGTGCGAAGCCAATGGGTTGGAGGGCTGCTATACCAGGACTGCTTGTAACGGTGGTCGTCAACTGTTAATCCATGGAAAAGACGGTGTTAAACAGAGTAAGAAGCAGAGCTGGAAGCAAAATCGACCTTGCAGTCAACAATTTGTCTTGTATGGCTTACGACCAAAAATGTAGCCATGAAGCAATCTAGCGCTCTAGTGGTCGAAGCCGAAGTTGTACGGAAGAGTTCTTACCCCTTGAACAACTTGTTGGAAAAGTGCCGTGGAAACACTGGAATTGGCGTTGAGAATCAGGACATCGTATGTAGTTGTGACACAGATGGAGACGACAATCTGCTGACTGGTACCAACTATATGAAAGGGAAAAGTAAGGATAGTGTCAAACATCACATCAAACCAGAAAGAATCACCAGAAGACATGCTGAGATTATGATCTGTAGAGTCCCCTTTCGAAAAGTGCAAGAGTCTGCAGCTTACCGTCGCAAAGCATGCTGGGCAGGGTAGTAGTCAAGTCCTGTAGTCTGTCGAAATCATCAAGAGACAGGAGAGTGTTGGGATCTCCTGCGATAGCCAGTAGCTGGTCGCTATCCAGGTTGGAGCCCACACCAACAGCGATGGTGACGATTCCTGCCTGGTGCATCCTCCGAGCAGGACGTTGGACGTCGTCCTGAGATATGCCGTCGGTGATGACGACAACTATCTTGGTCACGGTGGCTCGGGCGCCGTTCCTGACGTCGAAGTGGACATTGGTGGCGAAGTCGATGGCATTACCCGTCTTTGTGTAGCCGCCCATGTATTGAATAGCTTCCACTGCGTCTTGCAGGGCCTGGAGGTCGAAGTACTGGTCAAGGAAGAACTCTGTGCGGGCTTGAACTGCATACTGAACGATAGAGACGCGAACGGCATTTTCTCCAATATCCAAGAAGGCGAGCAACTGGCTGATGAAGGTCTTCATTCGCTCGAAGTTCTCCAGGCCGACGCTGCCAGTGCCGTCCACAACAAAGACAATGTCTGCTACTGCACTACAGGGAGGAGCTAGACAGAAACAAGAAAAAAATTTAAAGGAGGCCACAACTGCCAAGAACTTGACAGCAAAAGACAAAAAAATGAGAAAAACGACGCCACTCAAGCTAAAATAGCACAATTAACTAACATACTCGTATCTCCAACCGTAGACGAGACTACAGGCAAGGGTCCAATCCGTGCTCCAGGCGCTGTAGTGTTGACAATGATTTGGGTGGTGGCGTCGACATTTGCACCTAGCGTCACTACACTCACAGTTACCGATGTGGTAGTTGCGGTCGGTCTGAAGAAAGAAGACAAGAGGAGAATGCATTGAACCATTCTTCAAGAGCACCAAAAAGCATGTAGAGCCAGTAAAGTCGACATTAATACGGAATACTGCAATATCCAGACTTGACTTGAAGTGCAAAAAAGACGATGAGTAGAGGTTTGAATGAATGGCGATAAAACTGCACCATAGCAAGGCTTTTCTTCTTACCCAGGAGCCACCGACGTAATAGATACCGACTGGATGTCTGCTGGGCTGTCCGTGAATTTTTGCAGTAACTGTAGAAGATGTGTGTTGTTATTTACATTATTTTTGGTACTCCGATTGAGGCTTATACTTGTAGATTTTTTGCCATCAGTCGTCAAGACTGTTCAAGGCTGATTGTTGAAATATACATGTCAGATATACATGTCAAAATATCGGCCTGATACAACCTACCCCATTTTCTAAAATGACACTCAAGTTGGTATAGGACACTGACGAAACATCCCCAAATTCCACTGTGTAGGTGAGATGGAGTTCCAGCGTGATGATAATACTTCTTCTTGTAGCTGCAAGAAGATGACAAATATTATATTTGCTGCAGATATGAATGAGTGGAACGTCAACTTATTTCATGTGTTCTGAGGCAGACACATAAAGCAGAACTATCTTATCTTACATTACAATACCAAAAAGGTTTATATCTAAGTCTATGATGTTCACTTTAGATATGAACTGTTAAAAAAATTAAGATGAAACTATTTGGCCATTTAGTATTTCTTTTTTCCATTGCTTTCGCCATACCGTATGCATTTTGAACGTGATGCATTTTCTCATACACATGACAACGAAGTAATCCTTTTTTGTCAAAGTAAAATACTGATATCGATATACAATGCACTAATTTTCTGGGAACTCTTGGCTTACAGGTAGGTGTACATATATTGTATATATAGAAAATAGAACCTTTCTACTGTACTTTATATAGATCATGACTACACTGATAGTAAAATACTTCTTTGCAGTTAACGGAAACTTACCGCCATCTGTTATAGTTGTTAATGATGGATTGATTTGAAGACTTCCCAGTGATGTGAGGGTGGCGATTGTTGTTTCAATGGTATTGACAGCAAATGGCTGTGCTGCAAGTTGCAGTGACACGGCGACGGCTCCGAAAGGCCTTAATTGATTAAGGTTAAATATTTTAAAAGTGAAATTCTTTTTACGAAAATCTCGGCAACAATTATTGGATCAGAATCTAACAACTTCTTAAGAGAAATAAATCGATAAGCTGCCGTCTCTATAGTTGAGTTTAGACTGGTTGCAAACTAGTGCATAGAATAGGAATTTGCAATAAATGTTTCAATGAAAAAGTGTCTTTAACATCTGAACGATGATATACGATAAAGGCATAAATGAATGCATATTTAGGATCCTGTAAAATCGTAAACTTCAGATATTAAATCTTTCTGCGTCTTGAAATTTAATTCATTAAAAAGGAATGAGAGTTTGATCCCTATCCCAGGGAACCAATAAAGTGTGTGCGGAAACACAAAGATTTGAAGATAATTTTTCAAACTGTAAAAATATTATCATAGCGTTGCTTTTGATGTGTAGATGTAAAGAATGTGCAATGACACATCCACAAGAAGATATTGTATGGATTTATGTGAGAAGGCTACTAACATAATTTAGATAAAATACATTGTACACATGTGTTCCTGATGGCAATGGTAAAATAAAACAATATCCATTATCCATGAGGTATACTTACCCTGGTAGGAAGCAAATTGACTGCCAGGTTAACAGTCCTTGTGTGGTATCACTGATAGCATTTAACTATGAAGAGTAAGAAATAGGACAAAAACATGATGTGAGAGGGGATATATGGCAAAAAATGTTTGTCTGGCTAATACATCATAATGGATAAAGAAACTGCAGCAATTGCAACTACCGATAAAGTGAAATAGGATATCACATCGAACTTCATACTTAAATGCACTCCGAGACATTCCTATACTCTAAAATTCACATGGGAAGACCTTGCAAATAAAATAGGGACAGAAAAGGAAGAAAAGCATTGGAAAGACGCTGTTTGAAGTTCAGTGCACGCGCACAGATTTATGCTCGCGCCATGCCCAGAAGCATTGTCGAAGTTCATCTGCGCAAAGTCTGTATGAATTATTATCGTACAAATTCACCTGTAACGCAAAAAAGAAATGTTAGAAATGCAAAGGAGAACAAAATACACACTCTGTTTTTAAAGATATAGCATTATATATCATATTTCTTGTTCTTGATTCAAATAAGTTTCGGTCCATGACGTCACAGTAAACACGACAGACGGTTCGGAACCGGCAGCTGGCACCTTGGCTCGCGAAAAATCATTTTTTGACAAGGAAACAGGTTAAAATAATCGAGATTACATACAAGTTACTATATATCATAATGATTGTAATTTTTGCTTCTCAAAAAGAGTCAACGATAAATCTGTAAATAACAACATGTTGACTCACAGCGAATTGGATCTCAGCAATTAAACCAAACGTCAGTGTAGAATTAGCATCCAGAAGCTCCAGTCGGTATTCTTGAGATGTTACTACTAAGGACACGATGGACACAACGCTGGAGCCAACTGCAGAATAGAAACACACCTTTATAATCACAAAAGCAGCGTAAATTGTATCCCGCAGCCAACCATATCTGACCTCTGCCAGGTATTAATAGTCGCTAGTTCTATAGAATAAACAAAAAGACATTCTGATCCAAACCTACCGTCACAAACCCGGCTAGGCAATTGAGTTCTCAGGTCTTCTAGTTTGCTAAAGTCATCCAACATAAACAGGTTACGTCGGGATCCAGAAATTATGTCAAGCTGATCGCGGTCAAGATTGCTTCCGATCCCCACGGCATAGGTGATGATGGCCGCCTTGCGCATACTCTGAGCTGGATTCGCTACGTCATCAAATGATATGCCATCGGTCAGGATGATGGCTACTCTGATGACTCCTTCTCGAGCACCGTTTCTTGTAGAGAAGGCAAACATGGTGGTGTAGTCGATGGCCGCTCCTGTCAAGGTGTAACCGCCCGGGTATGCGATGGCAGCGATCGCATCTTGTAGTGCTCCTTCGTCCTCAAATGCATCTAACCTGAGGGCCAGCACTGCACGGTGGGAGTAGACGACCACGCCGATGCGCGTTGCCTCGGGCCCAATCTCAAAGTCGCTTATCATCTTCTGCACGAAGGTCTTCATCCTCTCAAAGTTGTCGGCTCCCACGCTACCAGTTCCATCCAAGACGAAGACAAGATCCACTCGAACGTTGCAAACTGGAGCTGAAGTAGAGAGTTCAGAGAATTACTTGGTATCCAGTGCCAGAAACGAATCGAAAAAGGGCAGACAACCAACCATCCAATCATGCACTTGTCTTAGCTAGAGGAGTTGCTTTCAAAGTTTACCTGTTAAGGCCACTTGCGAAGAGTTGATGGTAGCGCCACCAAGTATTTGGCCTGGTGCGGTAATGTTAGTCAGCCTTCCTTGGACGCTAGACACTTGGGATGCCGTGGTCACTACCTCAACGTCGACTGTAGTAGTTGTGGTTGTCGAGCTGTCAAACAGATGGCAAGAATTAGTTGCACGTCTCCCATTCACATCTTGGCGATACAACTTGAAACGCAAGCCAAGCGATAATTGTGACTTACTTACCCCGGAAGGACCTGTGTTACTCGCAGAGACACGATGTCTACGGTCCCTTGGATTGCAGAGAACTGATTCAGCACCTACACGACACAGAGAACACGAGATTGAAGTCCATTGGCTAAAGGAGCCACTAACTCTGTCAACGCAGAGGACTTGCAATGAAGGGGAAGTCGCAGACTTGTCTATCCCCTATCCTTACCACCCAGATTGACTAAACAGCAGCACTAGACCTGATATTGCAGCTGAAGAATCAAGGCGTCGTATGCAGCAGACCCACGGACTTGATAATCTTCTGTGTAGTTCACATTCACAACTAGCCTGGCGAAGACCACGGATGTACCTGCTCAAGAGAAGGCAGGGGTTGTAAGCTTTGTGTACCCCTTAAAGAGTCAACAACAGCAATGACGATTCAACAAAAAAAAGCCTGTCTAAAATAGGTTCGGCCAAGTGGGATTAGCAGAGTGCAATCACAAAATGTGGAGAAAGAATCAAACCATAAAGAGGAAGAACCTAGGCTGTACTCACGTGCAGCTACGACACTTGTGAATGTCGTGTCGATAGTTAGATTGTTGAGCTGTGCTGGAGCGTTCAGTAAACCAGATCTTACGGTGTTGGGGGCAAATGCTGGCACCCATCCCCAAACACATGGCCACGACGGAGTCACCAGTAGGACTGAAAGTTTACAACAAGAGTTAAGTAGGTTCGTCATTTTCTGCCTTCAAATACATCGGTGGAAATGAAATAGATTTGAAATCGACTGAGAGGCAAGCTTCTTCTTACTTACCCAGGTGCTAGAGACACCAGAGGTGCGGTGAATCCAGGGACTGCAGGGAGGAAGCCACGGAACTGAAAAGATGCCAGAACAGTGGTTACATTTATCACATCTAGAAGAAGAGTCCCATGCAAATCCAGCACATTGGCGCCGTAGGCAAAGAAGACGAGAACAAGACCAAGNAACCAACCAACCAACCAACCAACCAACCAACCAATCAGGCCTAGAGGAGTTGCTTTCAAAGTTTACCTGTTAAGGCCACTTGCGAAGAGATGACGGTAGCCCCACCAAGTATTTGGCCAGGTGCGGTAATGTTAGTCAGCCTTCCTTGGACGCTCGACACTTGGGATGCCGTGGTCACTACCTCAACGTCGACTGTAGTAGTTGTGGCTGTCGAGCTGTCAAACAGACGGCAAGAATTATTTGCACATCTTCCATGCACATCTTGCTGGAAAAGTTGCCAAGGCCTGCACAACTTGAAATGCAAGCCAACCGACAAATATGGCTCACTTACCCCGGAAGGATCTGTGTCACTCGCAAAGACACGATGTCTACGGTCCCTTGCATTGCAGAGAACTGATTCAGCACCTACATGACAAAGAGAACACAGAATTCAAGTCAATTTGCTAAAGGAAACACTTCTGACTTACTTTGTCGAATACAATAACTCTGTCCTCTGCGCAGAGGACTTGCAATGAAAGGGAAGTCGCAGACTTGTATATCCTCTACCCTTACCACCCAGATTGACTAAACAGCAGCACTTGACCTGGTATTGCAGCCGAAGAATCAAGGCGTCGTATGCAGCAGACCCACGGACTTGGTACTCTGCTGTGTAGTTCACATTCACAACTAGCCTGGCGAAGACCACGGATGTACCTGCTCAAGAGAAGACAGGGGTTTTAAGCTTGGTGTACCCCTTAAAGAGTCAACAATGACGATAACAATTCAACAAAAAGACTTGTCTAAAATAGGCTTGGCAAAGCGGGATTAGCAGAGTGCAAAAACACAAAGTGTGGAGAAACAAACGATGAAGAAAACCTAGCCAGTACTCACGTGCAGCTACGACACTTGTGAATGTCGTGTCGATGGTTAGATTGTTGAGCTGTGCTGGCGCGGTCAGTAAACCAGATCTTACGGTGTTGGAGGCAAACGCTGGCACCCATCCCAAACACATGGCCACGACGGAGTCACCAGTAGGACTGAAAGTTAGTAACAAGAGTCAAGAAGGTTCATCATTTTCTGTCTTCAAACCCACCTGTGGTTTTGAAGTAGACTTGAAATCGACTGAGACGCAAGCTTCTTCTTACTTACCCAGGTGCTAGAGACACCAGAGGTGCGGTGAATCCAGGGACTCCAGGGAAGTAGCCAAGGAACTGAAAAGATGTCAGAAAAGTGGTTAAAGCCATCACATCTAGAAGAAGAGTCGCATGCAAATCCAGCACGCTCGCGCTCTAGGTAAACAAGACGAGTCAAGACCATGACACAACTTACGGCTGTGTTGATTTGGTACAAGATGGTCTGGAATGCTGTAGAGTTGGCGTTCAACAGAGAGACATCGAATCGTGTTGATGTGATGAGGATTCTGATGAGAATCTGTTCACTGGTAGCGCCTGTCAAAACAAGGACACAAACACAGTCAAAGATCTACTGGAATGATTGAGCATGTGCCTTCAATGTACAAGGTGGCTTTCATTCTTGGAAACCTTCTCCTGAGAGCCCAAACTTAGCACGTCCAAATTGACACTAACCGGCACAGACTCGACCGGGCAGGGTGGTTCGCAGGTTGTCCAGCATGCTGAAGTTATCCAGCATCATCAGGTTCTCTGGCACTCCGGCAATAACATCCAGCTGATCGCGGTCAAGATTGCTTCCGATCCCCACGGCATAGGTGATAATGGCCGCCTTGCGCATACTCTGAGCCGGCTCCGAAGGGTCATCATATGATATGCCATCGGTGAGGATGATGGCTACTCTGACGACTCCTTCTCGAGCCCCGTTTCTTGTGGAGAAGGCAGACGTGGTGGTGTAGTCGATGGCTGCTCCTGTTCGAGTGTAACCGCCCGGGTATGCGATGGCAGCGACCGCATCTTGCAGAGCTCCTCCGTCCTCAAAGGCATCCAAGCTGATCGCCAGCTCTGCACGGTGGGAGTAGACGACCACGCCGATGCGCGTTGCCTCGGACCCAATCTCAAAGTCGCTGATCATCTTCTGCACGAAGGTCTTCATCCTCTCAAAATTGTCGGCTCCCACGCTACCAGTTCCATCCAAGACGAAGACAAGATCCACTCGAACGCTGCAAACTGGAGCTGAAATAGAGAGTCCAGAAAATTACTTGGTATCTAGTACCAGAAAAGAATAAGAAAAGGGCAGACAACCAACCAACCAACCAACCAACCAACCAATCAGGCCTAGAGGAGTTGCTTTTAAAGTTTACCTGTCAAGGCCACTTGCGAAGAGATGACGGTAGCCCCACCAAGTATTTGACCAGGTGCGGTAATGTTAGTCAGCCTTCCTTGGACGCTCGACACTTGGGATGCCGTGGTCACTACCTCAACGTCGACTGTAGTAGTTGTGGCTGTCGAGCTGTCAAACAGACGGCAAGAATTATTTGCACATCTTCCATGCACATCTTGGTGGAAAAGTTGCCAAGGCCTACACAACTTGTAGGATTTGCCATCAACATCCAAAACCTTCCCGATAATCTTCTAGTACAATTACTGTTTAGAGGTTCCTCTTCTCTGTCGGTTTCTAACAACGCTAAACTCTTACAATGTGTTCAATTGTTTATAAAAGAAACGGAAAGATTTGAGTAACCATCAATTTCTTATCCTACCAGTTTGTTGATTGACTTGGAATGCCTACTTACTCACTTATCATTTACCTGCATATACTGTTATATATTTGATTCATATTATATGATTTAGTTATAATGCGGCTTACTTTAGTTTACCTGATTACTCTTATGCTTTGCATGTCTGTATTTGTGACTACATGTATATATTTTTGTAACGATGACGACACAAACATAAGCATTGTAGCTTGAGTATGTCGTCATTCTGTCTTGTTACTATATATTATACATAAATGTTATAATAAATAAAATAAAAAAACTTGAAATGCAAGCCAACCGAGAAATTTGGTTTACTTACCCCGGAAGGATCTGTGTCACTCGGAGAGACACGATGTCTACGGTCCCTTGCATTGCAGAGAACTGATTCAGCACCTACATGACAAAGAGAACACGAGATTCAAGTCAATATCAGTCTTTGGCTTGCAGATAAGTCGTTGTTTAGCTGCAAATGCACCAAAATACACGAAACTGACGGAAAGCACTGCATTGAATATATATTGAAAACGAGTTTTCTGCTATGTAGATAGCTTAAGACTTTGACGAGCGTTTACCTGGTATTCGATCTTGGACACCAAAAGTGCTGTAAGCAGTTGATCCTAAAACCCGATACTCGATTGTATATGTCAAATTCAGGCTTAGCCTGAGAAAGATGGTGGTTGTCGCTGCTCAATAAAAGAAAAAAAACGTTTAGTAATTATGAATTAATTCAAGCAACTTGAATCGCCAATGCCCTCTTAAACTATCCTCCTTTATATCTTTCGTAGCGTATTTGTGCAAATTGGGGTTTATAATTGCAAAAAGAGGGGGGAAATACACAAACATATGGGCAAGTGGGGAAAGTTACACCTTAAATTTTGTTCTTTAATTGTTCTTCTTGACTCGACGTATGGTAATGGAATTGAGACTTTTGAGTTACTTCGTTAACTAAACTTTCATTTACTATGTGTTACAGTTTCTTTATGTTTAGATTGATATGAATAAGTATTAATGAATTGGTTTCTGGTATGAGTTTGTTTCTGTTCTTGTAAACCTGTGCCATGCAAGTCTGTGTAATGTACTTGTTTTTTTGTAAATCTAATAAAAATAACGTGGAAAAAAAACTTGAATTATGTTAAAACGCTATTGATGAGGAACGTTTTCGTCGCTATCTATATCCATAGCACTGATTGTGTTGTGTTTATGGACTTATCAATGCAATGTGCATGCAATATACCTTTAGAAATTCCGAACCTTTTAATGTCAACGGGCTGATTGACTTTACCTCTAAATGGATATTATGTTCGCTTTGTAGAAAGCAGCCCTTGCTAATGAATTAGACAGCTAGAAAGTTGTACTTACCCTCAAGGTTAAGACCTGTTGTAGTGGAATCGACCATGACGTCTCCAAAGTCAGTTGGAACATTTGAAAATAGTCTTGTTACAGTTGTTTGTTGCCATAACTGCACTGCCATTAGGTAAACTGCCAAAATTGAGCTGTTTGCTCTGAAATATGATGTAATGATGTTTGAACCATAAGTTCATATCGAAGGTTCATCATGGAATTAATACATGTCCCACGTATTGGGATTTTAAAACGGTGTAAGATGTATTGATGCTCTCTCTCAAAACAATAAACGTTGACATACGTTAAGGGAAGCATGTTCTTTATACCTTTTTATTCACCAAACGATAAAGATTGACTTACCCAGGAGACAAGGATACAATCTGCGTGACCGGTTGTGGGATGTTTCCAAAGAACATTGACAGCTGTTTGACGGGTAAGATTCATCGTTATAACATAGACGAACATTAGACATTGGCGAATAGGGATCCAAACCACTGCACGACGCTGCATTCTGGTGACTATGCGAGCCGCCCCTGGCGTTTGTAACTTTGCTGAAGAGCGAGCGCCCGCCTACCAACTATTTGGTAGGAGTTTTTAATTATGAAGCACGAAGAGCGCTAGCGACATCAATCAAACATAAAAACACTTAGTCATCCACTGGTGGAAGAGTTGGATTGCAAAACTGTGTAAATCAATAATGGTAAATTCCAAATTATTAAGGCTGTGTAAATGTTTTGGACAAGGATCGGTATGAATAGCTTAAAATGACTTAAAGCAAATAGCTAACGATAGATCCTTTTAAATAGCAGTAACAAGTGTTGCTAATTACATATCGGGGTTACACTGACAGGTCAACACCCAGCACACGTTATCTCTAATACCAGTTTGCTTGCCATATAGCACCGTTTGCTTGTTGTGGAAAAACAGTTCACAACCCAGTAGTTGCCTTGATTGCCATGCTGTCATGCATACTCCAATGCAGCGAACAAAATGTTGAAATGTATGAGTGTAATGCAGGTACAATATCAATGATGCAACCTTACCCTTTGCAATGGAAATGTATACGAATGTCTGTTAGCTGTTGACTCATTCTCCAGCAAATAGCATTAGATTTATCATGATCAGTAATTATTAATAGGAACAAATACATTGGTAACGCAACAGCCATCGCAGCAGATACACGCGCAGTACTGAAGGCCTTCTACAAGGATGCTCAGTATCACACAGCATTTCTGGATGAGATCTTTGCAGTGACGACCGAGCTCACCTTTACGCTCGTACCAGCAAAATGTTAGCTATAAAATGCGTCATTGCTGCATAGCAGCCCCTAGCACGAACAAGTTGCGCTGCGCTGCAACAGAGAACACGATGCGAAGAGAGAAAGTTCAAAGACAGCTACAGAGAAGGAACGAAGGCTGAGAAAAGTGTTCTATTAAACAATCTCTAATCTTACAGAAACGTCAAGTTGTGTGAAGAGCTCCATCCAGGCTGACGTTTGGGGATTAAGAAGATCGACGCTGAAGTTGGCAGAATGATGTTGATATTGATGATCCTTTGTACACTGTTCCCAACTGTAAATGTCAGAAAGTAATTTTCATTTCAATCAAAATGATAGTCATGAATTTTCTATTTATATTCTAATATAACAAGATGATAGTCATTTAAACATAGAAGGCATATCTTGATGTTTTGATCTACATAATAATAATACATTTTCGAAGCGACCACCAGTTGGAATTAATAGAGTGCATGTGAGTTCAGAAGCATTTCTTAGTATCGAGAATTCAAGTATTAGGAATTTATTTGCAAGCATTGATTTCTAGTATTTGAAGCATACGGATAACATTCCAACCTAAAACGTGCATTTACCAGATAGCTATACGATACATACCGCCGCAGATCTCAGTTGGCAATGTATTTCTTAGCTCGTTAAGATCATTGAAGTTCGCAAGCCGTCTCAGGTTGTTTGATGTCCCAGAAATGCTAATTATCTGGTCAGAGTCGGCGTTACTTCCAACAGCAATGCCGTAGATGAAGACATTCCCTTTCCGCATGTTGAGGGCAGGACCAGCAACGTCATCATGTGAAATACCATAGGTAAACAGCACGGCCACCTTAGTAGCCCGGGCCCTGGCTCCATTTCTTGACGAGAATCCAAATCTTGAAGCATAGTCGATGGCTCTTCCTGTCATTGTTGATCCATATCCTCCAATATACCTGATGTCATCTAACTGGCGTTGTATGGACTCATAATCTGAGTAGGTATCCAGAGCAATCTCCATTCGTGCATCTTCTGCATACTGTATGATACTGATTTGGGTACTATCGGGGCCTATATCAAAATCACTTATGATCTTTTTGACGAAGCTCTTTTGCTTTTCAAAGTTTTCCTCACCCACGTTCTCAGTACCAACCAACACGAAAACAAGATCCAGTTGTGTTTGGCAAGTTGGAGCTGAAATGATTAAAGGATTTGATGGATGTCATGAATAGAAACATGTAAAAGTATTATTTTTCTTATTATACATATGCTACATGAATCATTTTCTTTTCCCCACTACGACAAAATCGATCAAATGTGTATACCTCACTGTACGAAGCACGTTGGCAATACCTACTGAGCCTGCGCGAAACCATATTTGGTATTTAGTCAACCTTAGAATTTTTTCCGTTACAAATTCTGACACGCAGACAGAATATCATCCTTCAATACGTGATCATGACCTAAAATGATACGTTATGTATACGTGCTATGCGACCTGTCGAGACGTACTGCTGTGAAAGTATAAGGAATCGGCTGCATTTCATGTAGTGTATGCGAGGTTTAATAAAATCAAGGTGCAGTTAAAATAAAATAAGAAAAATAAAATAAAACAAGGGTGCAGTAAAAGCCGGTTAAATAGATTAGTATTACACAAATGTTTATATACGAACCCGTTTCTTGGATGATATAATCAATGACTTCAAATTGTCCCAATACTCCAGTTGCTGTCGCATTTTCAATGATGTTAATGGCAGATGTTATGGCCGCATCAAATGCTTTGAACTCAACAACCACTGTGATGGTGTTTTCAGTAAGGCTTCCATTGGAGAAGAAAGGAGATGAAATCACGAACGGAATTGAAAAAAAAAAATCATTCACAAGCCATTAGCAAGAGGCTTAGACTCTGTTATGGAATGCTACATTTCATCGGTTAATGTGTTATGGTTGGAGATTGAAAAGGATTGTGTGGATTATTTCATGGATTATATATCCATATGATATGAAGCATTGTTAACATTTAAGGAAATTAGTACATTTACAAAGCTACAGTTACAAGGTTTTACATGTGAAAAAGTTAGTATGTTGTAGTAGATTAGTCAGCATGCAGCTTCTATTTGTACAACACCTCCACCATGTTCTTCTCTCCTTTGTGAAGAAAATCGTAAGAATATATTAATTGAAGCACCTCCATGATTGAAGGCATTGTAATTTTTTCTTAACTTACCCTGGTCCTATTTGGACAACAGAGATCGAAGCAATTGAACTCTGGTCTCCAACAAACATAAGGTAGAACTGAAAAAAAGAGAATAAGTCCAATTTCTTTTGTCACGTTTTATTTTCGTGCAAATCATAACACATAAACCTAACTTAAAGCTTTTATTCACAACAAAAGTCCACCATTTGCTACCTCATATAGCCATGCACGTCTGTCGAGATAATACGCATAGCCAGTAGTATCGAGCATTAAAATGGACTACGGTATGTAGTTGTTGAGTATATTTCATACCACGTTTTCTAGCTGCAATGACAGATCTACAAATTCGGATGATCTCCTTGATTGAAGATTCAGGGTGAAGTTGTAAACAAGCTGTAACTGCAGGTAGATAGGTCTGAGTCCTGAAAGCACGAAATATATGTTTCAAAGTAATGACTAGATACGGTCAAAACAATATTTAGCATACAAAACGTCATGCACTGTTTTGTATATTACAAATCTACATAAGTTGAAGGGAGGGCAAAAGGCCTTTACAAATTGGCGTCCCAAACACTGTAATAATGCATTCAGTTATATAAAGTTTTTTTGCGCAGCATTGGTACCAGGTACAATGTAGCATATACAAAAGCATATGAATCACAGTTAAATAAATTACAGACCTTGTCTTTTGTCATTTGTATGATTCTATTTCTAGATAGACGCATGTGTGTGTACGTAGTACTCCCTATCTTATAAAGCAGATGTGGATGTTCTTTCTCATACATGAAATAAGGCCACACTTACGCTCTTCAATCACCCTGATTTGGGCCGTGTTGATCTGTAAAAGACCTCCCTGTGGGCTGAAAGCTTGGAATCTGGTAGTGACATCAGTGACGGCATAAGGGGAGATGAGCATTTGGCATATAGCTGCGACAGAATTTCCGGGTCTGTAACAAAACCAATTGTTGAAAATTAATTAGCAAACTTAAAGAAAATACAAGGTGGAGAAATATGGTTGCCAAATCATCTGTGGTCCCCCAACGATAAAAATCTAGACTAAGGGATGAGGGAAAATAAACAATTCTTATCATGTTTCTCAGATCATATTGTATGTTTTGGTATGGTCATGGTTTCATGGACTGTGGCTGAAATAGTTGACACGTGCTGTGATGTATACTTCAGTCCTGAAGGAAGGACACCGAGTCACACTCCTCTGTATAATCGTTTAGTCGAACCAACTTAATAAACAAATGCATGCATGTACATTTTATACTACTGCAAAGCTAGGTGACGTGTTTTGTGACAGGGTTATATATAGATGTGTTTTCAATGTTATGCATTTTGAAGGTTCTTGCTAAAGTTAACCACTGACAACTGGAACACTGATGTTCTTATTTTTGCCACTACTTTATCAGGGTGAAAAATGTTACAGACAGTACATGTACATCATCATCATCTGGCGGCTGCGTTAGAGCAGACGACTGTGAGTTCCCTCCGGTTAGTCCTGTTCTGGGCGATGTCAGCAATGCGTTTCGGGGAAAGGTCCGAGTTGTTGTCGCCTATAGCAACCGTTGGATGTACTGTAGGTAGGTGGTGGGTTGGCGACCACGTCTCCTTCTACCATGAGGTGGCACGTAAAGTGCGTAAAGCCTGGATGGTTCTTC